AGCATTACTGTAGCGTTTTAATGAAAAAGTTACCGTCACATTTGTGACGAATTACAGGAGGTTGTTAATGATAACTTAAGGTTCGATTGTAAAATGGCATAATAAACAACTAATTTGAGGTTTTTTTCAGTTGGTTTAGGGCAAGAAAATGAATTTACAGCGAGCGTTCGCTTCTGCTGCGCTGGAGAAGCGACTTTAAATGGAGCGATGACGTCAGGGGGGGCAATCCGTGGCAGGGGGGCAGTTTAGGGCACCGGCACGTATTTGTGTGGTATTTGCTTTTACACATACATTTTAGAATAACTCTTATTTTTAAATTGCAGTCGACATTCATTTTTGTTAGAGTCTCCCAATCAGGGGCGGAGCCAAAGGGGTGACAGGGGTGGCAATTGCCACCCCCAGTGCCACTCCGCTGGAAATGGTAAACATTAAAATATACCAATGAGGACATCGGGCACAGATTTGAACGGAAAACTGTAATTTCCGAGAGAGTGTCCAGAGAGTGTGAGACCGTGGTGGTCACACACTTGCACTACATAAAAAATAGCATCATGAAAGCGTTGCGCACTGTCTGCTCTATGTCTCGTTTAAATTAGCCACGAGCCCTGCTCGTGCTGTTATAGATCTTCTTTTAGACAGCGTCTTTGTACGTATGTATGTTTTAGTGCACATGCTGAATTATAGTATTGTTTTAGCAAAGCTTGCCCTTGCTTGAAGTCTGTGGTAAGTGTATATGTGGAGAATCAGTCACTAATTTTCTACTGCATGTAAGCAGGCTATGCATGTCATATTAAAGCAATGAATCAACTTCACTATACTGTAATGTGAGGGTTTAATTAGCTACCTAGATTAATTTAATTAATTAGATTAGGCTTGGTCTTTATGATTTTGTAAATGTTTGTTGTATTTTTTTCCTTCATTTATCATATTTATATGGACCCCTCTGAGAAACCCTCGCTCACCCTTTGGCCACCCCTTAAATAAAAGTCTAGCTCCGCCACTGCTCCCAATTCAAAGGAAGACTCGAGGAATATCCCGATACGGCCCGCGGAGAAAAACGCCGAACTTCATGGAGCACGGCGGAGTATTTCGATGGAAATATATTGTACCAGTAGATGGCAGCATAACACCACTATTGCAGGTTCGTTTGGCACTAAATATACGCGCGGGGGTAAGAACGGCTGCCAAAAGAAACATAACGTGATTTATGCATCAGTTTAACGGGATGGCTTAATAGGCACCGTGACACGAATAAACTGTTCCTGAAATGAATCCAGATGCTTGACGTTTTAGCTGTAAAATATTGTGCAAATTTCGGCCGAGGAGTCCGGGAAATCTGCAGTTTACCTGGAATTAAAGTAAATCATAAATGATTGTATGAAAATGGACTAAAGCATTATACCATACCGAAAAAACACAATTTTAGTCTGGAGTTTTCTGGCGGGACTCACTATTCCTACGCTTCAAGAGCCTGAAATGGCTTTGTGGGTTCAATAAAAACAGAAATTCATGTCACCTTTTTTGCGATATAATAGACTATCATTTTAAAAGAAATGGTAGAGCCAGCAGCCAGACAGCTTATCAACCAGCGAAACCCCCGGTTGGCCAAGCGCTCCGCCGGTCCCACAGCCCCCTGCAAAGGCGCGATACCCCGCACCCTCGCAGAAAATCTCACCACTGCGGCGCTAGAGCCTGTTTGACTGCTATGAATTTAGCACAATTTCACTATAGATGCTCGATTTAGGAGAAACATTTCTAAATTATATATATTTTTGAAATCTCGACATGTAATGATTTGAGAATAAGGGTTTAAGTGAATAGCCTAGCTCTTAGCTGGAAGTAGTTTTATTTTGAAATAGTGTGGTGGCTCCTTTCATTCTTACCGATTCTTGGCGAATCACGTTCGTTTTTCATGTTTTTCGTTTTGGAGCTAAAACGCATTTATAAATTTGCTCGCGAAGACCGAACGCGGCGCGCGCGTCACCATGGCAACCTGGCCGCGCCGCCGCGGGCCCCTGCCTCTCGACCATGCTTCCGTCTGCTGCTGATGGCATTTGACGGTGCCATTTCAAACCTCCGCTACCCCAGCATATTGAAACTGCTATCACTTCCATCTGGGCGCCTTAAACAAAGTTAAGCGGCATCTGAAGTAAGAGCCTAGTGGTTTTATTATTCAAGAGCTGAGACGCTGCTGGAAACAATTGAGTTAGGTTTCTGTTTACAAAGGACCAGATGGATTACATTTAAAAAAAAAACACCGGTGCAGCATTGTTCATATCTTGCTGTGATTTTGTCTGACATAAACTTCTCTCACAAATAATAAATCGAAGAGGTGGTGATGAATTGGGGGAAGATATCAACATTAGTTACAGGAAGTTACCTCATCAGACCCTATTTACACATAGTGTAGTGCAGGTTAAGCTTATAAGGATCACTGAATAGTGAACTTAAGCTGTAGAGTCCATGTCCTTGGACAATTCCTGCTATACTGCCCCGATATAAATGTATAAAACCATAAGGTCCATTCATCTGAAAGGCTTCTTTAGTTCTAAAAGTCTGATGGGGGGGGGGGGTCTTGTCACCTTGAAAGTGGTCATTGACCCGACCTGCTGTCCATCGGGTCGCTAAGGTCATGTGACTTACTCTTACTGCTTATTCTTACGGGATCGTGGGGAAAATGGTAAGATGTAGGATAAAAAGATTCAACCCAGCAACAAAATCATGATAGTGTCAGCACATGGGTTTAACAGCGGGTCACCTAGGCCCAAAAAGACCCTAATGACCCACTGGACAACAGGGTGGGTCAACAACCACTTTCAAGGTGACAACCCCACTAGAAGAAAAATACCTGGAACTTCCCCTCAGCCTTTTAGAACCGAAGAAGCCTTTTGGAAGAGAGATGAAAGGACTTCAATAAATCGAAAAAGAAACTCCGTTGCCTTCGATTCAACCCCTTAAGATGATCATGTCCTAGACGACTGAGAACCTACACAGACATATGGTCCATCTATTTCTCTTCCAACTTCTTGTTCTTGCAGGATTGTGGGGGAAAGCTGTAAGATGTAGGACAAAAAGATTAAACCCAGCAACAAAATCTTGATAGTACCAGCACGTGGATTTAACAGCGGGTCACCTACAACCCAATATGGCCAAAATCCTGCCGTGCAGATATTTACCCCATCAACTTTTGTTTTTACTCCCATTTCTCCTCACAAAGACAAAAGCCTGCAGCAAATCCACCAAACTGCGTCCCACAGCCTTCAGCTGGGCTGCGGTGGTTTTGGGCTGAGGAACAGAAGCTCTGAGGGTCCAAATCGAGGCTTCCCTAAGTTAGTGGGGGATAATCGGAGGATAAACAGTGCAGTCAAGACCAATTTTGGGTTAACTCATGAAAGTGGTCCCCCGCATGGCCCACAGGAGGCAGTTCTGGTCCTGCTGGGGTCTCCAAGAAGCCGACGTCATCTGGACCGTTACCATCCGGAATGCAGCTAGGACAGCCGTGTGACGGTGACAGGCAGAAATGTAGTGTGTCCTACTGTCACCTATGACACAAACCTCATGGAAGCTGGGCAGAGGAACAGTGGGGTGGACTTTGCTGTGCGGAGGTTCTGTTGGCGGTGACCCTGGTAACGTTACGCTCTAAATTTGCTGGGGAATTCACAGAAGCTTATTGCACAGCACTGGTATTGGCTGTATTTGAAAATGGCTGGTTCTGATAACAGGAGGACTAAATTATGCAGAATCACTGCAGTTTCGGGGATTTCAGTTGGAGGATCACCTGTGAGAGGCAGACAACCTTGAAGAGACGGTGATTAAAAGCGGAAATAACAGCGCGCACGCTGAGGAATGGCTGCCCCGCTGACTTGCCAGTCGAAGTAACTGATTTACAAGTTGTGAAGCAGGGACAAGGCAGCTTTGAACAAAGTGTGTGAATTATGGACCCTCAGTCTGGCCACATTCCAGACCCATTACAAAAGCCTTTGGAATCAAAACACATTTCACAAACAACTGCCCCAATAGATGAGGATACATGACAACTAACTTTGAATTAATGTTCCTTTCCCCATCACACTTTGTTAGCCTGCTTGTATGGGACTTTGACAATTCCACCCCCCCTCACTGCGACTTCCTAGCAGGATCCGCATTTTCCTGTCAATTACAGGCGCAATTGGCTCAGTTGGACAGCAGGGGGCACTGCCTGCTGGGGGCTTCATGCTGCCGGGTGATTCTGAAACATTAAAGGCTCCTGGCAGTTCCGTTGGGGAAGCTGATTCTAATGGCGGCAATTTCTATGTGATATAAACCCAGCATGGCGCAAATGAGAGGTTGTGATCTGAGAGGGATTATTTATATATATTAAAACTAGCGGCGACTTTCTGGGTTTCTTTTCGGCAGTTTGTTTCGTTTTACCCAGTGACTGGAACGAGGAAAAAGGGCACATGGGTTAACTGGCTGCATACTGGCATCCATAAATCATTCTGCACTCCTCTCCTAAACAAATGCACTAATCCGCCCGGCTCGTCATGGAGCCCAGTCGCAGCTCCATTTATTCTGAGGTTAGAAAACAGCGAGGCATTAATCAAAAGGCCAGGGTTTTATTTCCCTCGAGTCAAAGTGTTTTCGGTGCATTTGACTAGTTCCCTGTGTGATAACGGCCAGCAGATCCTCAAGGGCTACTGACCACTGAAAGGAAAAGCGTGACTATGCCCAAGCCAAACGGGCAAATACACATTTCAGGCATCAGGCAAATTATCAAGGGATGATTTCATTCACGTCCGAATTTTTCACACATTCGGCTTTTTTCGAAGTCAGTTAAGTATTACACATCATGCACTTACCAGTAAGAACTGAACTCAATATTTAAATAGCTGAAAGTATTTTTTGTTGTTGTTTTTGTTCGACGGATAAAAGATTTGGGGTCAAACACTGATACCACACTGATACTATAAGGAAGATGTCTCTGCAACTTTCAGCAATAAATCACAGAAAGGGAAAGACACTTTTCACAGAGGGTAGTGAGTTTTATTCAGAATCAAAATAAGGTCCATGCCTATTTCCTCAACAAAGATTAAATAAAACATCGTCATGGGGACTAGCCTGCCCTTTTTTCCCCCCACACCGTTTCCGATGGTGATTCAATTTGGATTTAAATACTGATTTAAAACCACAGCCGAAGTCAGAATCGCCGACTGTGGAGCCAGAAGCACTAAAAAGGATTCAGAGGAGGACGATGGGGATGTGCACACAGACAGAAAAACTCGGACAGGTCCCTTACTATTAAGTGGGATCTGTGTCACCTTTATGCACCATCGGAGCAAATGAGCACTAACAGCCGAATGAGACAGAGGTGGGTTATTTAAACACCACGGACCCATTCAGACACGAACTGCGTAAAGACCACAGCGACAATTTTAGTGACAGCACGACATCTAAAAGGGACTGATCTGCTCTTACACCAGTTCCATCACAGAGAACATTAAACATGAGCGTTGACAATTAAAAAAAAAAGCTCTAGAAGTCAGCTGTACATAACTACACATAAATACACCAAATAAATAAGGGGGGAAGGATAGGAGAGAACAGATACTGCCAAATACCCCCACCACAAAATAGGCACCCTCACTTTGCTCTTAAATATTCCTTACATGATGCTCAAACAATTCTTGTGAATGGCATCAGGGGGCGCTGTGGAGGGGGTTGGCCAAGCAGGACGGGCACAGCGTGGACAAAGAAAGACTTTGACAGGCACCCGGGCCTGCAAGTACACGCAGCGTGAGCACCTCACATTACTAAGAAACTGTCACCATCTTCTGTTCTCGTCATCTGTTTTTTCTTTTAAAAAAAAAACGAGGGAAAAACAGGTCCTTGTTGTTCTTTAGCACTCAGCCTTGCAGGTTAGACCAGCAACAAAAAACAGTGCTTGTTTATTCCAGATGAAACGACGAACTGAGAAACAGACTTAAAAAAAAGAGGATTACAGCAATACATGCTCACAGCCAGCCAATCAGATCAGGCCTGCTGTTCAGATGGAGGGAAAAAAGGTCTCTGTCAAACAATCAAGAAACGGTTATGTCCTAATACAAATTTGCAGTGTAAAAATAAATATCTCAATGTCGACAACATGGTACTAATTTGCAGGATTTCTTCTCTTCTCTGGACATCCTTCATGTGGAAAGTTCTAGGCAGGAGGCGGAATTTCAAACAGTCCCCGCCTGCTTCGTGTGCCCCCGCTTGTTATTTGGGAAAAAAAAATAAAAATCGCCATGTGGAACTGTCTGCGACAGAACATCTCCTAAGCACACAGCTACACGAGTTCTCGCACCCTTTATGAAAAGAACAGTGCAGCTTCAACAGGCACAGGACAGGAAATGACTTATGATTTTAGCTAATGGGATTTATGCTAATGTGGCATTACGCTAGCAGACAGAATACTGACCAAGTGGAGAGGCTTCTGTAAAATGTGCAACGTCACAAAAAATAAAAAACAGGACGTAGAGATCAGTGCAGTAACAAAAAGACCAACAGGACCATGGTATACATTCACAAAGTATGTCTTTCGTTTTGATGTTTTGATTAAAAAGGGGGGGGGGGGGGTGGGGCTGGGCTTCATTATTCAAACAGAAGGCAAGGCAGCCTCACCTCTCCCACATTCACACCCCAGACTTAACACTGACACTCTCACCCACACTGCAGTCCTCGTGTCGGACACCAGGGGGCGACAAAGAGCACTGGCGCAGGCTGTGGCCGTCTCAGTTTGTTCCGTGCGACTCAACTTTACAAAATACATCATGACGTGTGTACACAAACTGTACAGACAAGTCATTATCACAGACATGTACCAAAATCTACTTTGGTTTTCTCTTAAAAAAAGAAAGCCTTTTTTTAACATGATAGTTTCAATTACAACTTATATAAATACATCTATGGTGTAAAACTATTAGAATCTTTTTTTTTTTTTTCGTTTTAATTGTAGGGGCTACACTATTAAAAAATACTCTGCTATAAAGGTGGAAAAAATACTTTGATATTTTCTATAAACAGGATCATACATCATCTGCAGGTAGTGAGGGTATGAGTATCTTAGCTCTTGTGAAGTAGGCCATCTTCTCCCTGTGGGGGGGGGGGGGGGCAGACCATTAGGGATGGGTACCAATTTTAATGTCACATGTTATGTCTCCATGACAATTAACTCACCCTGCCCAGATGAATTTAGCCAGGAAAAAAATCAAAACACAAATAATACTAAAAATAATCTCAGGTGGGGGGGCTGGGGGGTGGGTTACATAAACGGTAATTCACAGGAGCAAGAGGTTATTTCCATTGACCCCGGGGGGGTCTCACTGTGAAATATGAGGCAGACACCTCACATTTGGGCCTCTTATACTCCAAATGAATCCCTGTTAATCTGAGTGATTCCTGAACATGCCTGGGGGTGGGGGGTTACAGCATATCCAGCGTGTAGGAGTGGGCCTTAATTTGTCACATGGGTAAACAGAACAGAGATGCCCTTGTAAGAGGGGCGTTCAGACCACTGCTTCCACACCTAAAAGCACCCCCATTATCAGCATGCGGTGGGGGGAGGGGCTGAGGCGTTCACACGGCGTGAGGGGCGGCCATCCAGTGCCCGTAATTCACAGGGCACCCTGCTATGCTCGCCAATCCACCCCCCCGCGGCTGCACCAAAGCCGAGACAGCGGGCGGCTTGCAGCGGCGCGGCGGCACAAAGACGCCCGGAACTGGAACGCGGCCTGGACCCCCTGCCCCCCGTGGCGAAGGGAGAGACGAGACCAAATGCCAGGTCACTGCTGTTACTATGGTGATGCCACACGCTGGGTCTTCACTGGAGGCACCGTTTAACCAATCTGTCAGGTCCTGCCCAGAGGTGAGCGGTTACATGGCCTGGCTTCCTATTGACCTTAAAACACACGGCATGCTGGGACATCTGGCCTTTGTGGTATCGAAGCTGTGAGATAATTAATGTTCTATGAAAAAGGCAGATTTTTATGCTTGTGTAATCTGACCCCAAAACTATTTGGCTGGGAAGGAACCAGACGCACTCACCTGAACGACTGCACCTGCAGGGGCACCTTCTGGCTCTGCTCCCGCAGACGACACACGTCCTTGGAGGCCTTCCTCAGAAGCTTCTCTGCCTTCAAGCCCTGCTTCTGCTCCTCCTTTGACTGCTCCGCCTAAGGGGTGGTCAGGGAAGGAGACGGATAAGAAGAGGAGTCAAAAACACTGGGAAGTGGGAGGCGGCAACCTGGAAACATGGGGTGCGTTCGACTTCATGCAGCCGCTTACAGCGCTGGCTTAAAGCAATGCATCATGGTTAGATTTTTTTTTGTCCGACTTCAGCTGGCACTGGAAAACGTCACCACGCGTCACCATGTCACATGGTACAAAAACCTCGCGAGAGCAAGACGACTTGAGACAGATCGTGCAGCACCTCTCACCCGGCTGCACAAACTGGAACCGCCTCCGTGACGACACACCTTTGCCCTTATTGGCTGAACAGTTTAGTTACACGCATGACGTTTGTCTCCCAGGAAGTTCCTATGCTAATCTACTATTTCACGTAAAGCAGTGAGAACTGGTTTTCAGTTAATTTACCTGGTAAAATAAAGTTTAAGTAAATGACATAAATGCTCTAATAGTACACGTAAGTGGTTTATTTATTGTTAGTTACTGTAATGTTGTGCTGCTTTATTTGTTTAATCGTCCAGTCAGTGAAGAAGGCATTCAAGTAAGAATTGCATTGTACTCTGTACATGACAATAAAAACTTTGAAGTAAATGTATTTAATAAGTGTATTTAATCTTTTTCCTGGCAACTATCTTTTTTCACAGGGCCACTATACACAATAGTATATTTTTTCACCGCTAACATTTTGGATCAGGAGTTGGTTATTGTAAAAGAAGTAATGTGCATGCAGGTGATATTTGTATAGATTTATCTACACCCTTCTGGTAGTGCTGCCATTGCAGTCAGGTCTCGCACACTACGAGGAGTAGAAGTTGTCCGACTTGGCTGCAGTCAGTTTATACTCCACCCCTGCAGCCGCCGGCAGATCTCGCTCCACGTCCCGTCAGCTGCAGACAGACCTAAGCCCAAGTCGAACGCACCCACGATCAGACAGTATCAGTAACTGGAAAGGGGTGTGGTCAGACTAAGCATGGTCAGGAAGTGGGAGTGGTCAGACTAAGCATGGTCAGGAAGTGGGAGTGGTCAGAGAGTGAGCGGCACCCAGGGCGGGAACTGGCCTGCTTCTCGGCCTGCTGGAGCAGCCTGTGAAATCGCTCATCCTCCAGCACGGCGAAGGGCAGCTCCGTCTCCCCGCGCGCCTTCAGAGCCTCCAGCCGCATCTTCAGCTCACGCAGCCGCCGCAGCTCCTCTTCCAGGTGATTCTGACGGGTCCTCACGGCCTGGAGGTCCAGCTCCAGGTCCAGAGAGGTCCGTGCTGGGCGGTCTGCCACCGGCCCTCGCAGCGTGGGCTGTCGGATGGTCTGGGGACAGGGGGGGAACAACAGGTCACACAATGAGAGGCAACGTAGCAGCGGCAGAAGCTGATCCACCATCGGGATCCGCTTACGGTACCACCGAGGTCGGCACAAATCCAGCAGCTGTGTAGCACCATGACAGAGTCCAGCATCAAGCTGCGGCTCGGTGCAAGTCGCTTGAGGGATGCAACCATTGTATCATAAGAACGCTGCCCGTACCTGTTTGACTCTCAGGCTCCGTCTCTCTGAAGCATTTCGGATGAAAGGAGACTTCCGGGACAACGTGGAGCTGTCGCTGTCGCTGCGGCTCAGCTGCGACGGAAGACGGGAGAGAGACACGTATGACACAGCTGGAGAAACACCCGCCGTCCTGAGGTGGCACTTCCGGGACAGGGGGCGGGCGATAGCTGGGGGGGTCACTCACTCTGCAGATGTACTGGTTGCGCTCCCCAGGGGAGAAGGTGTGGGAGCGCATCACTGAGCTGTTCCGTGCAAAGGCCCTCTGCCTGGGCCCAGGCCCCCCCCCCCCACGCTCCTTGGGCCGCACCGCTGCCCCCCCCTCCTCTGGCACTGCCTCCTCTGTGTTTGTTTCCTTGTCCACCTGGGAGGGAGAGATGGACACACACACACACACACACACACACACACACACACACACACACACACACACCAC